ACACCTTTGAAGCATCTTCTAGACATCGTCAGCTGACTCAAACATGTTTAATTGTTAATCAAACGCTGGCTGCTCAAACCCACCCATAGGTGCCCTGGCAGAAAGTCCCGGCGATCTGCTTTTGTGAAGATCACAGCCAGGAAAACCCTGTGGAGCAGTTCTATTCTGTAACATATGGAGTTGCCACAAGTGAGGATCTGCTCAAAGACAGTGGGACGCATCTCCTAAGTATCTGTAGACACAGAAAACTTGATGCTGGAAGCATCTTCATTCATGTGGATTATGGGATGACAGGAGGGCAGTTGTGGTATTGTGGGAAGACCTACACTGGGGGTGTCATCTCAGGTCCAATCCCCACCACTGATGCTCCCTAATGTGGTAGGTGCCCATTATCTGTGGGCCTCCTTGCACCTTGTGGAACACACACACACACACCCCTACACCCCTCCCTTCCTGGCCTTTTCATGGTCTTGTAAGGTGGCTCTCATCATCCCTGTCTAACAAAGAGAAAATGAATTTTCAGAGAAGTTCTGTGGTGTGCCTGAAACCTCACAGCCTGGATTCAGACACACACTCTCAAATTAGGTGACAGAGATAAGACATTTCACCGAGGCTTTGCCAAATGGCTGTGATGATGTTAGTGTCTTAGTCCACTACAGGAAATACAAACAATAGGTAAATGCATAGGGAGAGAGAGTGGATTCTGTTCATCAGGGGGAAAAAAGTGGGAGTAGTTTTTGGGGGTGTTTTTTAGCATTTTCACCTACACATATGGTGAATACATTACTGGGGTACACTAGGACCATTAGAAGGGCAAGTTAAAATTTCTGAAGCAGATTTTTTTCTTCTTAATGGGTGTAGAGTTTTTGTTTAGCGTGATGAAAAACTTTGGGAAGTAGATGGTGGTGGTGATGGTTGTACCACAAGGTGAAAGGCATAGATGCTGCTGAATTTAACCCCCAAAATGGATAAAATAGTAACTTGTATGTTATATATACTTTGCCATGATTTTAAAAAAAGAAACTCCTGTGCAAACAACCCAAATGTAAATCAAGAGGTACAAAGGAAATAAACAAAAATCTACATCCTTCCTTACTTGCACTCATGGGTGGGGTGTGTGTGTGTGTGTGTGTGTGTGTGTGTGTGTGCGCGCGCGCGCGCGCGTGCATGGGGGTATGGAGGGTAGAGGTCTCCACTGGGGGCAGTAAGTCCCTTTCTGCATGAGAAAAGGTGCTTGTGGTGCAGGCTTCAGCCTCACAGAAGCAGGAAGTCGGTGGTTGAGAAGTGCATTTCTCTTTGCCTGGGTTGAGCCAATGACATAAACCTTGGATTATTGGGTATCTGGTCCACCAGGTAACTTCTCAAGTGATAGAGAAGGGGACCCCAGACCTCCTGGGTTGTAAAGGCAAAGACTTCATTGTTCTTCTAGGGCCTGTGGGGCCTCCTTATGCAAAAGAACAGAAACCTTGGCTTCTCAATGTGGTGACGCAGGAGGAACTTGAAGAGAAAAGCTCCTTCTGTCAGCCTCAGAGAGGTAAGAAGAAAATGAAGAATAGTAATATGGTCACCACCCAGACTGTCCTCACCATGTATTGGGTGCTGTTCTAAGATACTGTCCATTAGATGCCTGTCCCCTAAGAGTTCTATGGCCTTTTCAGTCACTTGCCATGATGCATCTGAGAGTTAGGCAATGAATAAGAACAATAAGAATAGATGCCTTTGAGTTGTGTTGGAAGAGAGTACTGGAAATCCCATGGGCTGTCAAAAGAATAAATATATTTGTCTTGGAGACGGTGCAGTCAGAGTGCCCTGTAAAGACAACGATGACGAAGATTCTTCTTACATATTTTGAGCATGTTAGAAGGGACTTTTCCTTAGAAAGGGACATCATGCTTGGAAAGGTGGAAGGTCAATGAAGGAGAGGATTCAACCAGACGGATTGACACAGTGACTGAAGCAGTGAACTCAAGTTATGTCAGAGATGATGAGGATGGCTCAGGATAGGACAGAGTTCAGTTCTGTTGTTCATGGAGTAGCTATGGATCGTACTTAACTCAGTGGCTTCTTCTGACAACAGCAACAGTCCTTATAACTTGCCAGTTATTAGTCCCTTTATACAGTTGGGAAAACTGAGCCTCGGGGAATTTAAGAAAGAATGAAATCCTGTTGCCCTAAGTTGTGGTAAGCTGGTAGGCAAGGGGGAGTTTCAGAGACAATAGGACAAGAGTCTTGTGCTGATTCACTACCAAGAAATCTTGGACAAGTCACATTCCCATTCAGAGCCTTGGTCTTCTCATCTGTAAAAGGCAGGATATGAAGTCTGAAGATCTCTAAAGTCCCTTGCACACCTAGTGCTTTGTGAGAAAACGGAGAGATTGGGAAATTTGCTCCTGGTCACATAACCCATTTATGAAGGAGCTAGCCTGGGGCAGTCTGGGCTACTGCCACCAGATCTCACTGCCTCGGTTGCTGTAAGTTGGAATCAACTAACAACGACAACTACAATGTAGGCCCTTAATAAACACAGTAGATCTAATTGCTGTTCTTAGGTGCTGTTAAGTCAATTCCAACTCATAGCAACCCTGTGTGCATCAGATCGAAACCTTGTCTAATCCTGCGTCATCTTCATAATCTCTGCTGTGCTTAAGCCCATCATTGCGTTCTGTGTCAATCCTCTCTTTTGTTGACTTCCTACTTTTCTTAGCATGATGTCCTTTACCAAGGCCCTTGCTGATAGGATAGCATGTCCAAAGTATGTGAAACAAAGGATCACCATCCTTTTCTCCAAGGGGCACTACAGCTGCATTTCTTCCAAGACAGATTTGTTTGTTCTTTTGCTAGTCGACAGTATAGCCAATACTCTTCACCAACACCAAAGTTCAAAGCCATTGATTCTTCTTTGGTCTTCTCTTAATTATCTAGAGTTCACAGGCAATAGGAAGCAATTGAAAATATCATGGGTTGAGTCAGGGGCACCTTAGCCTTTAAACTGACATCTGTGCTCTCTAGCACTTTGATGTTCTTACCACGAGATGGTTTCTCATCACCCTGGGAAAAGTAGTGGATCACTTGCCTGTCTCTCAGGCAGGGTGTTGGAAAGGAAGGGGAGGGGCCCTCTTCCCTCCTCCAGACTTGGCACCCCCCCCAAAGAAAGGGAAGTGCCCCATCTTTTACTTCTGCTTCCTCTAGTCATGGCTGACTAAGCCTTGCTTCAAGTCTGTTATATTTGGGTGCCCACAGCCCTCAGCTCAGCCAATCATGAAGAGTTGGCCCCAGCCCAGGCCCTCCCTGCACTGCGCTGGAAAGTTCTTCCTTGGTGAGGCTGAGACTTTCAGTAGGTGGTGAAAGTTGTCTGTGAGAGAAAGAAAAAGCAGCAGCTGTAAGGGGATGGGGAGTCATGTGGGTGTCTCTGACGAGACCCACTCCTGCCTGTGCCCATTTACTCCATTCTCCCGAGGTCCAGGCTGGGGCACTCAGAATCTCTCTCAGCCAGTCTGTCCTTCAAGACTCTCTTCTTACTGCTTCCTAAAACCGTTCTCTGACTTCTTTAAGTATTTGTATCTGGAAAGTTCAAAGATGGTCCCAAGACGCATCCACACAAATCCCTGGGACCTGAGTGTCACCTTATTTGGGAAAAGAGTCTGTACAGATGTGTTGAGATTAGGGATTTGAGATGAAGTTATCCTGGATTGTATGGGTGGACCCGAAGTTTAATGACAAATGTTTTTATAAGAAAAAGACATTTCTCTAATAAAGAGGAGCCTTTGAGATACAGACAAGGCGGTAGTACCATGGAAGCAGAGTCTGGAGTGATGTGACTCCTTGGATGCCAAGGTTCCATCAAAAGTTGGAACTGGAAAGACAAGGAAGAATTCTCCCCTAAGAGTCTCCAGGGAGACAGGGGGTGCAGCCAGCTCCTTGAATTCAGATCTCTAGCCTCAGATCTGTGTGAGAACAGATATGTGCTGTTCTCTGCATGTGAAGTTCTGTCAGCACCACATAGTGCATAGTACTTTGTTACAACAATCCTAGGAAATAGAACACCCTGGAATGAGAGCAGCTGAACCAAGGACCAGGAAAGGGGCACTCCACCCATACAGATGAGGCTTCAACTCTCTTTGGTACCACCACATGATAGCTAGGGAGGCTGCTTAGCCTCTCTGAGCCCCCAGTTTCCTCATCTGCAAAATAGATATAAGTATGCCTGCCTTTGGTGGTTGAATTATTTTTTGTTTGTTTTGTCAGTGATACTGAGATATTGTATGATTCACTCTTAAAGTACTGTTCACAGCATTGTGAATATAACTGGTTTGCAGTATATTCACAGAGTCATGCAGCTCCTCTGACAATCAGTTTGACATCCTTTGCATCACTCCTTCCCAAACTTCTCTCTGCCCATAGGGGTCAGTCCCCATACCCCCTCACTATTTCTTATCCCAGCTCTAGACAAATAAGAATTTACTTTTTGTCTTTGTAGATTTGACACTTAGGAACATTATTTATCAGTGGAGTCATACAATGTGTGATCCATTGTAATTTCCTTCTTTTACTAAGCATGATATTTTTTAAGTAATGCATATTAATTAGTACTTGACTCTTTTCTTTGGCTGAATAATACTCCATTGTTCAGATGGACCACATTTTAGTTATCTATTCTTTTCAAACCTTTTAGATTGTTTTTGCCTTTAAACTATTACGAATAATGTTTTTATGAACATAGATTATTATGAATAATACTTTTATGAACATTTGTAAACAAATTGCCTAGGGTGAGCTTTCTTAAATCTATACTCCCTGACTTCCTTCTTTGTGTCTTGACTTCGTTTCCCTACCGCCCTGAGCATAGATGTCATAGTCAGCACCTTTGTTCCCTGGTGATGCTCTGCCCAGGCTCTCCCCCTGCCCAGCTCAGAACCATTACAGGTGTTATTTCTCAGCATCCTTCAATATTAATGAGGTGACTGGCCGTATTTCCCATTCCAGGCAGTGGGCTGTGTGCTGCCATGGAGCTGGAACCTCCCGAAGGAGGCTACTTGGACCTTCTCAACAGCAGTGTTGATCCCTTGCAACTCTACCACCGATATGACCAAATGGATTTGGCTGCAGAAGAAGAGATTGAGCTCTGCTCAGGTGAGCCCTGTCCCCGCCTCTGACCCTCCGGGATGCCTCCTATCACCTCTCAGTGGCCGTAGACGCAGCCATCTCCTCATGTGAAGTTCTGTCAGCACCACGGACAGCTCCCTGTGGTGCGCCTCCCATTTGCCTCGCGCTGCATCCCGCCAGCCCTCTCTCCAGAGCAGTCGTGCTTCACACAGGGACCTTTTCTTCCCAGAGCCTGACACGGACACCATCAACTGTGACCAGTTCAGCAGGCTGTTGGAGGAGATGGAAGTTGATGAAGAAACCAGGGAGACTTATGCCAGCATAGGTGAGAAAGCATCTGCGCCTGAGAAGTGCGATTGAAGGAAGGGGTTCATTTCTATTTTGTATCTGTCTGTGCACCGTGAGCCAATGTAGGCCCCTCCCTCAGAAGTCAGGGCAAGGGAGACGCTGAGCCGTCAAGATAGCTCTGGTGGCTTAGGGGTGAGGAATAGTGCTACCAACTCAGAGGCACGCAGTTTGAATCCACCAGCTGCATGGGAGAAAGATGGGCAGTCTCCTTATACAACTTACTACCTCTGAAAATCCACTGGAAGGTCAGCTATGAGTTGGTTCTGACTATAACATAGTAACAACAGCCTTGCCATCAGGTATATTCGAACTCATAGCTATTCAATTATAGAAGCAGACCGTCTTGTTCTTCTCCTGTGGAGCAGCAGTTGGGTTTGAACCACTGACCTTTCAATCTGCAGCAGAACACAAACCACTGCACCACTAGGGCTCCTTAGATTGAACATACTGAGGGAAATAGACAAAATCTCACTGTAATATCCTCTGTCTCTTGCTATGCTCTTTTATGTTTCTTACTCTCCTTTCCTCTGTCTTGCAAATCTCAAACCATATACCCTTGCCTTTTTCCATAGCTCCTAAACGAAAGTACTGTCGTACTTGTTAAGAGGGACCATTTCTCAGACTATCAAAAAGAACAGTGTCAAGTCCATCTAATTAATGACTATCTTATTATTGTTGTTGTTATGTGCCGTTGAATCGTTTGTGACTCATAGCGACCCTATGGACAACAGCCCTAAACCCTGGTCTGTCTTATACCAATCGCACTGTCTCTGACACTCCCATCCCGATTACCCCAGCCACTGAATCAATCCACCTCATAGAGGGCCTTCCCCTCCTGTGCTGTCCCTCCACCCTCCCAAGCAAAATGTCCCTCTCCAAGGACCTCTCCCTCCTTACAACATGTGCAAAGTATGTCAGACGGAGCCCCAGAATCCTTGCCTCCAAGGAGCAGCCTGGTTTAACCCTCTCTAGGATGAATCTTTGTTTTGTTGGCAGTCCATGGTGTATTCATTACTCTTCTCCAGCACCACAGCTCAAAGGCATCAATTCTCCTTCTGTCCTCCCTAGTCATTGTCCAAGTCTCCGATGCATAACAAGTGATTGCAAAAACCATGGCCTGTATCAGACGCACCTTAGTCTCCAGAGTGACACCATTGCTTTTCAGTACCCTGGAGAGGTCCCTAACAGCAGACTTTCCCATCGCAATATGTTTTTTTATTTCCTGGCTGCTGGTGCCAAGAGTGTTGAACGTGGAGTCAAGCAAACTAAAGTCATTAACAGTCTCAATCTCTTCACCATCCATCCTGATGCTGCCAATTGGTCCAGTGGTGAGAATCTTTGTCTTCTTGACATGAGGCCTCAATCCATACTGAAGGCTGCAGTCCTTGACCCTCTGCAGCAAGCATTTCAGGTCCTCCTCAGTTTGAGCAAGCAGGGTGTGTCATCTGTATAACGCAGACTGTTAATAGATCTTCCACCAATATCTTATAGGGGTAGTAATTTTGCTGCTGAGTTGGGATGGGCTCATAACTGGAGGGTCATAACTGAGCAAGTTTTTCAGAGGCTGTAAATTGCACCAGAAGAGATTGCCCATCTTCCTCCCACAGAGCAGCTAGTAGATTCAAACCACCTGCCTTTGGATTGGCAGTACAACTCCTTACCCACTAGGCCGTGAAAGCCCCTGTCAGTTATAGTGTGTTAAATGCTAGACATGCATTGTATCATTAAATCCTCACAACAAAAGAATAGATGTTACCAGTATCTGCAGCAAAATGAAGCAGCATACCCAAGACTGCATGAGACTGGTAAGTGGCAGGTGTGAAATTCTAGCTTAGTTCTTCACCTCAAAGTTCTTGCTCTTAATCACAGGAAGTATGTCTAGGAAGTAGGAAGATTTGCTCCAGTTTAATCTGATGGACTAGCTTTCTGTTTTAAAAGAGTTATGTTTTCACACAAGGACAACCTTCTTTTGAGAGAGATGTTTTTGTTGTTGATGAGGGTGGGACAGTTACCATTATCTCATCCAGAGCTGTTGTTAATTAGAAAAGATGCTTTTCCACAAGGGGATACAGTGCCCCTCAAGAATGTACAGCTTGGGGAACAAAGTACAGTCTAGATTTCTGCCCAAACTTGCTCTCTTCTTGAGCATCCTTGTGCAGTGAACAACTTGCACAACTGTCCTTAGTGGCCCTTGTTCTGACAACCCAGGAAGCACATCACTTGGAAGGTCTATGCTCTGTACAGATGTGGCCAGCCTTCGCCCAGCCTGTGTCTTTTCCAACATCACCCAAGGCAGAGAAGGGAGAGCCATGGTTACTGTGTGTGTCTCAGAAATAGTAGAACCGAGAGCAGCCCGTTTCCTTCCCTTATGGTGGTGTATTCAGGAAGTATTTGGGACCTAAGGTATTCACATTTCCTTGCAACCCATCGCAGTAATTAATCATTCAGGCATAGCTTAGGGCTTGGGGATTTTCCCCCCCACCTTTCTTTATTTTAGAGCGTCACCACAGGAAGTGGGAGCTGCCTGAGCAAGTGGAGGGAGGCCCCTCACCAAAGTCTGTGGGTTTTCTTTGTGCTCCTAGAAGGCCAAGGCTGAGCCCGGGCATAAAGTCATTTGAGCTGTCGTGAACTATTTATTATGTTGGTGTCCATAAATATAAAGCAGGGCTGATGGTCACATCTGACTGTATGATTGAGTTACTGCATGTGAAGCATTTGAAACAAGAATTTGCAGAGTTAGCATTGAACAAGTGTTAAGTGTCATCACCATGACCAACAGCATCGCTGTCATCTCGCCGTTCCTCTACTCAAAAGCCATGCAGTGCTTTCTGGTGCTTTTAAGGTCAAGTTCTAACTTTCCCAAACCTGAAACTTCACTGTAGTCTTCTGTCCCTCAGAGTTTCCCAGTCACCCTGAGCACCCACCTTTCCTCATTCTGCCCTCTGCTCTCCCCCTCACAGACTCTGTTCCATCTTTTAAGGTCCTGCTGCAGGGCCCTTTCCCCTGGGAAGCCCTCGCTGATTGTCCATTCCACTGTAACTCTGTCCTCTGATCTCTTCTCATGACGGCTGTCTTCCCATTGGTCCCTAGTCAGGTACTGCTTCGTGTCATGAACCAACTTGTCCAGAGGAAGGAGCCTTAGGGGCACATCATTAAAGTATTTGGATGCTAACTGAAAGGTCCACGGTTCTAATCCAACCAATGGCTCTGTGAAAAAGACCTGGCACTCTGCTCTCACAGAATATGTTGCTGTTTATAGTAGTAGGTAATTTCCTATGGATACATACCTCATCCCTTCGGTTAGCTTGAATCCATGAAATGTTACTCTTCAATCCTTATTTCATCTTCCATTCATTAGATAAACTCTTGATGAGCTTGCACCATGTGCCAGGCCCGAGAACCACAGCCCCCTGATTCCCAGCCTGAGCCTGGCATGCAGCAAGAGCTTGGTGAGACCTCACTGGTTGACTGTGCTTTGTGCTTTCTCTTGGCAGCGGCTCTGGACCAGTATGTGTTCCAGGACTCCCAGCTTGAGGGCCCAAGCAAAGACATTTTCAGTAAGCTGGGGTTTTCTTGGCTCTGCCTGTATTTCCTTCCCTCTTCAGAGGGCTCCATAATACCAATGGAGCCTCCAGGGATGATCAGACCCTTCTCCAGGGCCTTGCAATTCCGCTGATGGTGGGTGATAGTCTTTCTCTTTTTTTCCCCAAAGTAGAGCACATGGGCTCAGAAGATGTGGTCAGTGAGAGTGTGGAGATGCCCACAGACGCAGGGCAGAAGAGTCAGAAAAGACGTGAGTTAGATGCTGTCAAGGCCAAGGACAGCCTGCTGCCCCCTCCCAGTCTTCCCTCTACCCTGAGTGAGCTGCGGCTCCCAGTCACTTCCCTCATCAAACCTGGTTGGCTTTGTCTGCATCTGGGTGCCCCTGCTGTGCCCCTCTTACCCCACCCACACACAGAAAAGGTTTTGAGAAGGAAGAAGACAGCAAGTTTACAGAAAGGTTGGGTTTTCATTCATTCATTCATTGTTGCACATTTCCCTCTCTCTCCTTCTCTTCCCCCTCCCCCAATCCACTTTACAACACACCACTTGTTCGGATTGTTGTCATACATATAATGCTTAATCCTATATTCCTTTTAGACAGTTCTTTCCCTTATCTGTTCCAGTGCAGTGTGCATTATCTATCCACTCTTTTCCTATTCTCCTCCCACCCACCCCGATATTTGTCCTATTTTATAACAGCAGTGTTGTGCAGTATTTGTCCTTTTGTGATGGAGATAGGTCCCTGGCTGTTTAGATGTCAATTTCCAAAAGCACCTTTGATTTCTGGTTTCTCTTTCATGCCTAGTCATCACCACTGTGTTTGAGAGTATTCTCTTTAAGTGATGGCCTGTTGTTTATGGCCTGTGTGGCCCTGGGCAAATTCTTGCACCTCTCTGAACCTCTCTTGCTGTTTCCCTGCTCCCTGTGTCCAGCTTGAACTTTCAAAATACAAATAAGGCTGCGAGCTCTGGTGGCCTAGTGGCAAGAAGCTGCACTGCAATCCCAGAGGTGCGCGGTTCAAATGCACCAGAAGCTCTGATGAAGAAGGAGGAACAATCTCCTTCTGTACCAGTCAGATCCGATTTGATGGCATATACATACAAAATAATAAAAATTAAAAAAATACAAATAAGTCCATTTCACTGCCCTGCAAACATATCCCACAGAACTTTTCCAGACTCACCACCTGTTAGTCCTCACTATGTCTCATCCAACTCCAGTCACTGGCTGCTTTCCATTCCTGTAGCTCATGTACCTGTTTCAGCCTCAGGACCTTTGCACGTGCTGTTTGCTCTGTCCTCTACCAGATCTTTTAGATCTTGGCTAAGATGCATTCTTCCTAGAGCCCTTTCCACATGCAGGACCACATTCGTCCCATCTTGTTTGCGCCTGTCCTCGCACCTCAGGGCTTGTTGCAATCTGGATTTATTCTATGTCTTGCTTTTTTCATCTAATTCTCCTGCTGGAGGACAGACTCATTATGGTGTCTCCAGTTACAGTGCCTGGCATTTCATTCACTCTCTGCTCAATGAGAACGTCTGTAAAATGGGATAGTGGTTAATCAAGCACTTACTATGTGCTGAACCATCTGTAAACCTGGTACTTATTTGCTTATTTCAGAACAGATAATACAATATATAGTATTAAAAATGTGACCCATTCATCCATCTGTCCATCCTTCGATCCATCTGTGTTGATGCAGCTGCTCATCCACTGATGCATCCATCTATCCATCCACCCCTCTTGTCATCTCCCCATCTCTCTAGCCATATATGTATCTATCAATCTTATCCTTCTGCCCATTCACCCTTTTACCCTCTCAGCCACCCACCCACCATCTTGGTTTTGGCATATTATGAAACAAATTGCACATATTAAACACTTCCCCATAGGACCGCTGCCTCTTTGCTCTTTTTAGACCTGCATGATAGTTCATATTTCGTTAAGTAAATGAACCACCACTCACTTAACCGGCTCTTGCTGAGGGATGTGTAGCTTGTTATTTGCTGGTATGCTAAGTGCCTTTCACTCTTTGCCAATTCCCAGTGCATTCCTGAAGTGAAGCAGGAATCACCCCTTCCACGGGTGAGGGAACCTCCCAGATGACGCTCAGAGATGCTGCTGCAAAGGCAGAGTTAGGAAGGAATTCAGAAGCAGGTTTAAAGAACCAAGCAAAGCTCTGTGTGTGTCCCCCTCATACTCGTGCCTCTTTGATGTCCTCTCTGTGCCAGGCACTTTGATGTGGGTTTGGGCTCAGTCAGCAAGCAGAGGGTGGAGATGGTCCGAGGAAGGGGAAGGAAAGAGACCCCCAAGGCCACATGGCAGTCATTTGGGCTAGGGCCATGCAGCTTGCTGGGCTGGACCCCTGGAGCCTCAGGCCGCCCCTCCCTGGGGAGCTGACCACCATGTTCTCTCTGCAGCTTTCACAGAGGAGCTGCCCGCAGACTCGAAGCACAGGAAGCTAGGTGAGCAGGGCAGGGGGGGGTCAGATGGATCTCACACATAGGTACAAACTAGCATTTGATGGTATCAAGTGCTCAGAGAGGGGAAGTCATTTACCTAAGATCACACTGCAAGTCCCAGGTCTTTAGGATTCCAGAGTCAACCCTCTGCAATGCAAGGGCTGCTGGGAGCTCCATGCTCTCCTCTAACATCCCTCTTTCTAATCGGGAATCAGCTGAGCTGTCCCTGCCCCCCTCCCATAGCTACACTTCTTTCAGAGGCATATTCATCAGGTGTCACCTGGTCACCAGCTCCCCACACCCTTCTCAGAGCCCACACCCACCTCTGAGCCCCCACGGCTGAGTGAGCTGCTTCCGTCAAGTTGGTCATGTCGCTTCCTCCCACCAGATGCTTCCTTCCCTCCCTCCCTTCCTCTTCCCACCACGCCCACCACGTTGTTATTGTGAAGGTGGGGAGCCCAGCCCCTGTGTGGGGCTGACTGAGCTGGTGTAACTCAAGAGTTAGAGGCCCAGAGTCTGACAGAGGAGGCCAAGTCCTTGTCTTCGAAGTTCTAATCTGATGGAGGAGGGGTGAGGCTCCTTCCCATGTAGACCCCAGGTTGTAGTCCCTTGTGCTCAGAAAATTCCCAGTCTGATAGGGGAGACAGGAGCTCTGCTCTCTTTAAGATCCCCAGTCCAATGAGGGAGACAGTTGTCTAAAGACCCATGGTGACGGGGACATGGTTCCTCTGCTCAGGAAGCGTCAGTCTCCTTCGATGGAGCACATCGTCCTACTTAGGTCTCCCCACTAGATGGAGGAGATGACCCCCTGTCTAAGTGTGATGGTGACATGGTAGGTCCCCCCCCTTGCCCTTTTGTTGGCAGCTCCTGGGCACCTGGAGAGGCTCAGTGACCCTTCACTAGGGGAAGGGTGGTAAGGTATCTCCCTCTGGGGCTTCCAGGACTTTCTCATCCTGTTCATTGGATAGAGAAGGGGACAGGAACCCTGTTTTCCATGATCTCGACCCTGATGGGGAAGACAGGTGCCAATGCCACCCCTCAGGCCCCACCACAGGAGAGGCCTGGGTGGCTATCTGATGTAGAGCCGCTAATGATCGAGTCAGCCTCAGCTAACGGTCAGGGGAGAGGGAGAACGCCCAGGTCCTAAACCCCCTTGCCCTCCCCCCGGGGCTCTCACCTGGGACTCCAGGTCCCTACCCCCCCTCCCCCCCCCCCCGGGGCTCTCACCTGGGACTCCAGGTCCTAGCCCCCCCTCCCGTCCCCCCCCCCCGGGGCTCTCACCTGGGACTCCAGGTCCTAGCCCCCCCTCCCCTCCCCCCCCCCCGGGGCTCTCACCTGGGACTCCAGGTCCTAGCCCCCCCGCCCTTCCCCCAGGCTCTCACCTGGGACTCCAGGTCCTAGCCCCCCCGCCCTTCCCCCAGGCTCTCACCTGGGACTCGGACTTGAACTCAGCTCCTTCCTCCGCAGCCGAGCCACTCGCTGGGCCCACCGTGACTGACTTCGGGGTGACTGGCAGCCTCGAGGTGGGGCTGGCGAGTGATTCCTCAGGATCCCCCTGTCCATGGGTGCCTCTTGTCCTCAACAAGGAGCCAGCCCCCGACCCGGCACAGCCTGAGGAGACTGTTGTGATGACAGGTATGTTAGGGGGCTTGAAGAGGTGGGCTTCCTGACAGAGTGCCCGAGGGCTTGGCGTGAGTGGAGTCATGATGGACACACACCCCCTCCGTCCTTTAAGTTCTCTTCATGAGGCTCCCTTCAGCTCTGCTGGAGTCACAGCAGGTGAAGACATTAGCCCTGTTCATCCATCACCATGGATTGAACCCATGGTCTGTGCGAGGCACTCTGCTAGGTGGGAGGGACCCCATCGTGGGTGAGACAGACGCAGCGGCTGCCATAGGGGATGTTAGAGCCCCAAAGGGTTAACTCAGATATTAATCAGAACACCATAAAGCGGAATTACAGACAGATGTAACAGCAGCCTCCAGCTTATGGCCTTTATCTCTTGTAGTTTCCCCTTCCAGGCCCTTGTTCAGCTGCCTGAACCTGCCCGATGGATCTGTCCAGATCATCCCCACCCTCCCCACTCTGTCCGAAGGGCTCTGTCAGCTCTCCAGGCCTGGGGCAGGGGTCTCTGGAATACTCGTCTACCACAGTGAGTGGTCTGCTTGCCTTTGTCCCATCGCCTCTCCCTCCCACCTGACCACATCCCACCTCTATCCTCCCCCACCCTGCCCAGACATGTGACTGTCACCACGGGACACCTTCTCATAGCCCTCCCTCTCCAACACACCTCTCTCACTGTCCGCATTTCCCAAAATTCAAAACAGAGAAAGCAAGTTCCCCACAGTGGTCTGGGTGCCCAGCCAGCCTGCAGTGCTCACTCTCCCCCTTGAGATTTAATTTCTCTGTCTCTTTCTCTCTCTTTAAACCTCATATCATCGTTAAGTTGCTAACTGAACAGTGCTCATTAACAAGCGAAGCAGTTAGAGACTCACAGAAGAGTCAGCTGTGTTTCTGCTTCACGCCTTTAGTAACTGATGCAAACATCCTTGCACAGATTTCTGTGAATTATGTCATTTCCTGGTCTATAAATCGAGTGGTCCCTGATGATCTGCCACACTGAGGGGATTGTATGGTTTGGGTGCTCAGGGTGCAAGAGAGGACGAGGCTGGGGGCACCCCGCCTCAACTCCAGGAGCAGTGTTTAAAGGTCCGGTGCAGTTTCTGGAGTCCCCAGGGACAAAGATGAGTCCCTGGTTTTGAGGAAAATGAACATCGACCAGCAGCAGGAAGAATGCTCTAAGAGCAGCAATTCTAAGCACCTTACTGCTACTGGGTCTATTTCCCAGATGGGAAAGTCAAGGCTCCTGGAGCTGCATGGAACCACAGCTGGTTCTTTGGCTCCATTCTGAAATAACTTTTGTTCTCCTCTACCTAGACTTTCTCAATTCTACAGACCAGTTTGGGGTGGGCATGACCCGAGGGGGTTCTTGGATGCATACGGAGTTATTCTTTCACTTCTTTCTCTCCCAATGTAGGTGGGATGACTCAGGCCAGCCAGGTATCCCCTCCCAGCAGCCTAGGTGTCCACAGCCTCCCGAAGTCCCCAGACCGACCTGGTTCTACCAGCCCCTTTGCCCCATCAGCTGCTGACCTGCCCAGCATGCCTGAACCAGCCCTGACTTCTCGTACAAACAGGACAGGTAAGAATGGAGGGGCTTAGGAGAATTTCTAGAAGCAAGTTTGAGGTCCTAAAGGGAAGAATTGCCTTGCTCATGGTCTGCAAACAATTTGATACGGAGATAGGCAGGCTGTGCTTGTAGCTTCAAGCTGACTAGAACTGGTTCAGATATGGACAATGAGTGAAACCGGAACAGGACCAAATTTGTAAAATGTGAGTAATGTGGAACACTAACCAGAAGAAGAAAATGAGAAGTAGAAGCCTTGGAATGAAAGAGACTGAGAAGAGATATCAGAGCCTGATTCAGGGAATTATATTATTGCCAAGACTATGCAGCTGACACCTTTCAAAGCAGTGGTGGAGTAATAGACCATTATTTGTGTAGACCACATTTTGTTCTGTTGATGGTCACTTAGGTTTGACCCTATTGGGACTCTGAGGCTGTAAATCTTAATGGGAAGAGACTGGCCACCTTTCTCCTGTGAAGCAGCTGGTGCATTCAAATCAGCACACCATGTAATGTGCTCACTCCCAGAGCTCCTTTATGTGTGTGTGCGCGCACAACATGCCTCTGAAAACCCTGTGAACTTTGAAGAAACAAGAGTTACAGAAAGGCTTCAGGTCTTTTGTTCATAGAGTTACTAAGAGTCATGCAATCAACAACCTAAGTGACAACATAGTTATCCCCAGAAGGACATCTGTGAACCAGACTGACCTCTTGCTGCCTTTTTTTGGGGAGAGTTCAGCTCATGTAGTTCTTCCCTGGCTGTCTAGTCTCTCAGAGCTCAGAGGTCTGGACATCCCAGAGGGAGAAAGTCCCCAGGGCACCCTCGAACTCTTAACACCAGTTTCTTCTTATCTAGAGGGTGAACTATCTCCTACCCAATGCCCAGCAGATCTGGAGGTCTCCTGCAAGATTCAAAAACAACCTGGTAAGTGGTGGCATCACCCCTCTATTTCAGGGTTGGGGACCAGGAGGCAGAAACTCAGGCCAGGCTTCGCTCCATTCGCTCCTTCGTCCACTCAGCCCTTCTCCCTTGGCTCACTTATCCAATTCCTTCACTAACTCATTGCTTGTTCCACTGCTTATGCTAGGACTCATCTTTTTGTTTGTTTTGTATTGTTCTTATTTCCATTTTTTAAAAAATGATATAATTTCTTTTGTCCCTGCTTTTAAGAATGTACTAAGCAAAACACTCACCACTAGTTAGCGACGTCAGTTACATCCTTCAAGTTTTATAACCATCTCATCTGCCTTTTCTGAGCTTTTCCTCCTCTATAAACATGAACTTGATGCCCCCTTTTGAGTTGTCAGTTTGAGCCCATAGAGGCAGCTCTTCAAGGGGAGAATGCTCAAAGCAGACAGTCTTTACTTGGTTAAGCTAAAGTACTGCTTGCTTTCAAGATTTCATATTTTAGGTTTAAGGCTTAAGGATGATCTCAGAGTGATAATTTCAGGAGTTCTTCCAGCCTTCATGTTTCCAGAAAGTGTAGTCCTAGAAAATTTGAAGTTCTATTTACATTTTCTCCCTCTTTATCAGGATTCTTCTACAGAATCTTTGTTCAACATATTCAAGAATGGTAGCCAGGCAGCATCCAGCTCTTCTGGTCTCATGGCAGCTCAGGGAGGTCGCTGCTTTTGGGGCAATCAGCCACACATTCCATTTCCTCCTCCAGTTCCTCACTCTTCATCTTCCTCTGTTGTTCAGGCCAATAGAAACAAGTTGTTTTGCCCTGGATGGCTGCTTGCAAACTGTTAAGACTCCAGGTACTATGCATCAAACCAGGAGAAAGAACAAAGGGCCCATGCATGCTATTAGGCTAACTGACTGGGATGGCCCGTGAAATCATGACCCTAAAGCCCAAAACCAAGAATACATAATCAGCTTGAGTAGCTATTCTCTTGTGTTGTTGTAAATAGATCTGTCACACACTCCTTCACTCACTGAAGTGAACTGAGGACCGTCTACTCAGCCAGCATGTGCTAGGTGCTGCCGTCTAGTTTGTGAGGCAGAGAGACTGAAGGAAAAGTGATGGATGACTTAAACAGATGAGTAAGGAGTGACGGAGGGCAAGAATACTGAGAGGATGGCTGGGTTACTAAATGCTAACTACACCAGGAACTACTCTTGTTAATAGAACATTCTGGTGGCCTAGGGGTAAGAAGCTGTGCTGCAGTCCCAGAGGCATGCAGTTCAAATCCATCAGCTGTTCTGCAAGGAAGAGATGGGCAGTCTCCTCCTATATGATTTACTGACTCTTAAAACCTGCTAGAGGGTCCACTATGGGTCTGTTCCGACTCCATGGTACACAACAACACAGCTCTTGTTATTAGTTACCATTGAGTCGATGCCAGTTCATAGTGACCCCGTCTGTGCAGAGTAGAAGAGAGATCCATAGAATGTGCAAGACTTGAAATGTTCAGAAGTAAAACACCGACCTACCTTCCGAGATGTCCCTGGGTGGTTTCAGACTGCCAACATTTAGGCCAGCACTTGAGTGTGTTAACATTTGTGTCAAGCAGGGAGTCTGTTACTACTATGTCAAAAAACAATAAAGGCCCGACTGAGTCAATTCTGTCTCAGGAATCCCCCTTGTCTGCAAAGTAGAATGGCATCATAGCATTTTGTAAAGTCTCTAGCAGCTGTGTTGTATGAACATGATTGCCGGGGCCTTTCTCCCAAGGTGTTGCTGGGTAGACTTGAACTTCCAACCCAGAGTTAACCATTTGTACTACACAGGGAAGTCCCTAAGCACAGGGAATTCCTGCCCCACTTCCCCAAAGCCCGCTGCTGCTGAGCCCATTTCACCTCCTCGCTTCCCTCCACTGGGTTTCCAAGGCTGTAAATCTTCACAAGAGGCAACTGCCCATCTTTCTCCCTCAGAGAATCTGGTAGGTTCAAACCGCTGACCTTCTGTTTAGTAGCACAAACACACTGCACCACCAGCACACCTTCTAAGCATTTTAGGGATATTAAACCATTGAAGTTACAGTTGGATCTCTGCCGAAGGTCCTGTCCTTCTCCCCATCTCCTGGGCGATGAGGCTGAGGCATGGTGTGGCACATAGCTCACTCAGGATTACACTGCTCTTACTAAGGAAGAAGGCAAAGAAGGGAGAACAAACCCAAACGTGATCAAGTCAACCCCAAATCATAGTAACTGCATGACAGAGTGGACCTTGTAGGGTTTCCATGGCTGTGATCTTTGTGGAAGCAGACTGACTCCCATATCTTTTTCCCAGTGAGTTCGAACTGCCTACCTTTTAGTTATCCGCTGAGCACTTAGTCTGTACACCATCAGGGTTCCTTAAATGAGGAAGAAGCTGGGTGACTGAGTGCATGTGGCAAAGAATGAATGAATGAGCAACTATCTAGATGCCTGAGGGAGGCAGTGGAGGAAGAGTGGGGGGGGTCAGATGAAGAAATCAGTGCCAGAGGCAGGACTGCCCTTGCGGGGGGTGCCCCATCACTCGACACCCCACCTCCTGTCCTCTGCAGAGGCGGTGGAGCGGTTCTGCTGCTCGCTGAGGGACCAGTACCTGGCTGAGCCTGCAGTCCCAGATGGCATCCAGGTGGAGGTGGAGCTGGTGTGGGCACGGCTCGAGAGGAGCAGCAGCAAGGGCCAGGAGAGGGAGCTGGCCACCCAGGACTGGACGGAGCGCCACCTGGACCGCAGGCGTCTGGCCGAGGTACTGCAGGCCTCTGGCGACCACCGGCGGCGGCGTGAGACCCAGGTGATCGCAGTGCTGGGCAAGGCCGGGCAGGGGAAGAGCTGCTGGGCACGGTCTGTGAGCCAGGCCTGGGCCCGTGGGCAGCTGCCGCAGTACGACTTCGCCTTCTATGTGCCTGGCCACTGTCTGGACCGTCCGGGGGACACCTACCACCTCCAGGACCTGCTCTTCTCCCTGGGCCCACTGCCAGCACCGGCGGATGAAGAGGTCTTCCGTCACATCTTGAGGTGGCCCGAGCGAGTGCTGCTCATCCTGGACTCCCTCGAGGACCTTGACGCCCACGACGGCCTCCTGCACGGTGCAGGTGGGCCCCTACCCACAGAGCCCTGCTCCCTCCGGGGACTGCTGGCTGGCCTCTTCCAGCGCAAGCTGCTCCGGGGCTGTACACTGCTGCTCACGGCCCGGCCCCGGGGCCGCCTCGCCCAGAGCCTGGCCAAGGCCAACGCCCTACTGGAGATGAGCGGCTTCTCCACCGAGCAGGTGGAGGCCTGCATGCTGCATCACTTTGACCGCGAAGCCCAGCGCCAAGAGGAAGCCCTGGCGCTCCTCCGCCGCCAGCCGTTTCTCCTCAGCCACAGCCACAGTCCCACCCTGTGCCGGGCCGTGTGCCGGCTCTGCGAGGCCCTTCTGGACCAGGACCAGGAGGCCCAGCTGCCGGATACACTCACAGGCCTCTTTGTCAGCCTGTTGGCCCCAGCTTCCCGTGATGGACCCCCAGGGGCCCTGGTGAGCCTAGCCAAGCTGGCCTGGGAGCTAGGCCGAGGGCACCGCAGCATCCTGGGGGAGACCCAGCTCCCCTCAGCAGAGGCCAAGGCCTGGGCGATGGCCAAAGGCCTGGTACAGGCCTGTCCAGGGACGCTGGGGACTGAACTGGCCTTCTCCAGCTTCCAGCTGCAATGCTTCCTGGCAGCTGTGTGGCTGGCAGTAAGCAATGAAGTCAGGGACAAGGAGCTGCCTCAGTATTTGGCCTTGAACCCCCGCAAAAAGCGGCCTTATGACAACTGGCTGGAGGGTGTGCCCCGCTTCCTGGCTGGCCTGATATTCCAGCCACCCTCCCAGGTCCTGGAAGCCCTGGTGGGGCGTCCAGTGGCTTCGCAGGTGGATAGGAAGCGAAAGGTGCTCACGAGATACCTGAAGCGATTGCAGCCTGGGATGCTGCGGGCCGGGCGGCTGCTGGAACTGTTTCACTGCCTCCACGAGGCAGGGGACACTGAGCTCTGGCAGCACGTGGTGCATGGGCTCCCTGCCCACCTCTCCTTCTTGGGCACCCGGCTCACTCCCCCAGATGCTCACATGCTGGGCCGGGCCTTGGAGGAGGCCAAGCGAGACTATTCCCTGGACCTTCGCAGCACTGGCATCGACCCCTCTGGGCTGGGGAGCCTCGTGGGACTCAGTTGTGTCTCCTGTTTCAGGTGAGAGCAGGGGAGGGAACTCCTTTAGGTTGGGCACCAGTGAGGGTCTGGAGGCTGTGCCCAGCTCTTGCTTTATGGGGTCTCCTGTAAGATGTGCAGCAGCAGTGGAAGGGGGCAGAATTGATTTCCCTGGTTTGTTTTTTTTTTTTTAAAGAAAAAAGCTGAAGCTCAGAGAGGGCCAGTAGTTTGCCCAAAGGCTCACAGCCAGACGGGCAGCATGATTGACTGCAGCAATAAAGTCTAGCTGTATGCCAGGAGCTCCTTTGGTGGCACAAATGGTTTGTGCTTTACGGCTAAAGTAAAGGTTTAAACTTGAACTAAAGGTTCAGCCCCACCCAGCAGCTCCAAGGAAGAAAGAGCTGGTCATCTTCTTCCATAAATACTTCACTCAAGGAAAACTCTATGAGCAGTTCTGCTCTAACACGTGGGCTGCCATGTGATGCAGTTAATTCAACAACAGTGGGCTGTATTATTTTTATTTCGTGAGCCAGGCATTGGGCCATGTCCCAACTCTAGATGGATCTGGTTCCCAATCCATTTTCTTCTCTGTGTCCTCCAACCAAGCCACCATTTCTCAACCTCACACTAAAGCTACAGCCTTCCTATGGCTTCCTTGTACCCATTCTCTCCCCCTTCACTCCACTTTCTAGCTGCCCATCAGAGCAGTCTTCCCAGGACTCGAGTCTAGACAGGTCCCCCCTCGCTTATGACCCTTCAGGTCACCACACCATCCTCAGGGTGAAGTCCAAATTCCTTCATTTGGCTCATTTAATTCTTTGTGCAGTCTGCATCATCACTGCAGTTTACCATCCAAAGCATCCCTCCCATCTCCCCACCAGACCTAGCTCACCATTGTAGTGGCTCACTCAAGAATTTTAGCACTGAGCTTCCTGGTGGCCAAAGCAAAAGGGAAAACAAAACCACTGCCAAGAATTGAGCAAAGGAGGAATCAGTAAGGGCTGGAGTGGCCATAGAGAGCTTCCTGGAGAAGGTAGAGGCTGGGGCTGAGTACGTAGGGAGGTCCCTTCATGGCACTCCCCTACACTGGTCTCCAGCGTGTCCTGGTGCCTGGGTCTGAGGCCTTTCTTCCACAGGGCCGCCCTGAGTGACACAGTGGGGCTGTGGGAGTCCCTGCAGCAGCGTGGGGAAGCCAAGCTCCTCCAGGCAGCAGAGGAGAAGTTCACCATTGAGCCTTTCAAGGCCAAGTCTGTCAAGGATGTGGAAGACCTGGTCAAACTCGTACAGATTCAGAGGTGAGCAGGAGAGAGATGGGGAGCAGCACTGCTCCAGGCCAGGCCAGCTCAGCAGCACTGGATCCAATGTCAAATGTGTCATCAGCACTGGGTGACACCCCAAGCCCTTTCTCTGAACAACAGCGGTCCAAAACCTGTCACTGCATGGGAGAGCTCCCATGATTCACGACTTTGCCTCATTTAGAAGTCATTATTGTGCCTGATTCCTCCTTGGTTAGAGGTTGCCTTAGTTTCCCAGGTCTGCCGTAACAAATACTACCAAGTAGCTCCAAGCAGAAATGTTTTGTCTCACAGTTCTGGAGATGGTTGTTAGATGCCATATGGTCAACTCTGATTCATAGCGACCCTATCAAGTTGGTGGCCCCACACTCGCTCTGTCAGCTCTTAGGGAAAGCTCACTTTGCCTCTTCCTAGCATCCGGTAGTCCCTGGAAACCCTTGGCGTTCTTTGGCTTATAGCTGCATCCCTACACTCACTGCCCTGTCTTCAGTGCTATGTGGCACTCTTTCTCTATGTCCTCTCCTAAGGACCTCTGCCTCTGGGTTTAAAGCCCATCTTACTCTAGAATAATCCTGAGTTAACTGATAACATCTTCAAAGATATTAGGAACCTGTCTATTTTAGAGGGGGACGTAATTCAACACCACAGTTTTTCCTACTTGCCATCTTCATTTAGTGCCAGGAGTGACGGCCCCAGCCAGCCTGCAAAAAGCCAGCATCAACTCTGTTCTCACTTCATAAACAGCATCACTAAGGCCCAGAGAGCAGAAAACTCTTAGCACTGAGTAGGCTGTCATTAACCTGTTCCTCCACCATACACTTGAGCACCTACTATGTGCTGGCTGGGCTAGGTGCTGATCAGATGCCTACTTTTCAGGGCTTGAGGTTTTTCTTTTTAACAGGACAGCAATAGCCCCAGGAAAGCATTTTGGCCACTTGGACAGGCATCACAGGGCCGAATGTGGGGCTCAGCTACAAGGAAGCACCTTCTCCGCACTAACACGGCCTCTTCTCTGTAGGACAAAAAGTCCCTCTGGAGATGCTGGGGAGCTTCCTGCTGTCCGGGACCTAAAGAAGCTGGAGTTTGCGTAAGCACTGGGGTGGTTTGTTGTTTGGGTTTTTTTTTTTCCATTCCATTTGAGTTGCCATAAAGTGATAGATGTCAGAATTAGTCTTACCCCCCTGGCTGTACTGCTCTTGACATCAGCATCCAGCAGCTGGGGTGTGTCTGGAGTCTTTTGGGATGATTCTGCCTGGCCCTTTGCTCATTAACGTGAACATTTGCTTATTTGCTCACTCATTACAAACATTCACTGAGTGTCTGCTCCCTGTGATACCCATGAATGACCAAAGTGTCTGTCCTCAAGAAGCTTCTAGACTAGTGGGAAGAGAGAGTTACTCCCTGCTGTGATGAGGTAGAAAGCATGAGGGTTGGACAGCTCAGACTTGGAGAAGTCAGGGACACTTCCTGGAGGAGGTGGTATCTGGGCTAAAATGTGGCAAACAAGTTGTAGTGAGCCAGGCAAGGTAAAGAGGGGAAAGCCATCAGTTAAAGAGGGAAAAGAGTTTCTAGGAATTGTTGTCTTCCAGGGTAGTTGAGTCCTTTTCCCAGGTCAGGTTGCAGACTGCACAGTGTCCCTTGTATTTGAGCTTGCTTGTTTCCAGAAATACTTTATGCAAGCTTTAAGTTCCTATACAGTTGTAGTGGTTCATGCAAGAATTTAGCACTGAGCTTCCTGGTAACCAATGCAAAAAGGGAAACAAAACTACTATGAGTTGAACAACAGAAGAACCAAGAAGGGTTAGAGTGAAGATGGAAGGTGAAGGGTTGGACTTGTCAGAGGAGCTCAAAATGTCCTGGCCAGCATCACCCTCTAAACCTCAGGAGAACCCCTGTGCCAGGCTTTGGTTTTCAACTGTGGCTGCATCTCAGAATTGCTAGTGTTCTGAACCTATAAACTCTGAGATCCCACCTTACCCAAGGTCTCAGAACAAGAGCTCACCCCTGATTTGAAGGAAGCCCGTGAGATTTGGGTGTGTAACCAGGGTAATCAATCATCCTCAAACCTTCCTGATTTTAACACTTAACATGGCCAGACCTCCATGAAATCTCTCAGTTCCAGGAAAACAGGCCATTGGCCACCCTAATATGGCCAGTGCTGGGTTTGCCATTCGTGACAGTGCTGCGAGGGTGACAGAAACAGGCAGTGGGCACTGGGAAGCCCAGCTTTGACCTCGGCCACCGTTAAGGGGGAGTCTCTGGGCACAGGGGCCAGGGGGAAGACACTAATTATCATCACACGTAGGTCTGTCTGCCCAGATCCAGCCTTTCCACCTGCAGCACACACTCACCACTGATCTCATGACCCTGCTGCTGTCAGCCTTCCGTCCACTAGACAGATGACAACGCTGAGGCCTGCGAGGTTTCCTTTGTGCAAAGTCAGAAGAGTCAGCTCAAGAGAAACCCAACAAAGGAAAATTCTAAGTTAGTGTTTGGTCATAAATTACCATTGGGGTGTAGGATCATTTTGTGATGAAGACATTTATGCACATTTTATATGTCTGTTTACAGGCATGTGTAATACATGTGCGCGCGCGCACACACACACACACACACACACACACACTGTTATCAAGTCAGTTCTGACCCATAATGTCCCCGCATCAGGTTTCTGAGACTATGAGTTAAAATTAGAGGCAACTGCTCTTCTTCCTCCCGTCTTAGAAGAGCAGATGGTGGATTTGAACCGATAAAGAAGTTTGAATTAACAGCACAACCCACTATGGACTGCCTCACCAGAGCTCCCTGTTATATATAGACATACATGCATGGAGAACTGTACATATATGTATAGTGAAAACTGGAGCTTACTTAAGGCAGAAACCTGTCAAACAAAGCTCAAATATTTTTCACTCACGTTAAGTGGTAGAAAAGTATGTAAAAGTCTAGACCCCGTCAAAGGTAGGAAACTGGCAAGATTCAGAAAAGCAAAGCAGTCCCCCAGGTGCTGTGTGCTTCACTGTCTATACCTTCTCTCTGTGCTCCACCTCACCTACTGGGCACGTGTCCATGAGGGACCAGTCCTTGGAGAAGGACATCATGCTTGGAAGAGTGGAGAGACAGTGCAGGAGAGGAAGACCCCGGATGAGATGGATTGACACAGTAACTAGGATAATGGGGGCAAGTGTTTCAGAGGCAGTGAAACTGGCTCCGGACCTTCACAGCTGTTATGCATAAGGTCACTCTGAGGTACAAGCGATGCAACGGCACATAATAACAACATATGCTTGGAAAGGGAGAGTCAGCAAGAGATAGAAAGACCTGCAACAAGATAGACAGACATAGTGACTGTAGCAGTGAGCTCAAGCATGTCAGAGACTGGCACAGGGTAGAACAGAGTTCAGATGTTGTTGTTCATAGGGTCACTATGTGTTGTACTTGTCTTGATAGCACACAACAACAACAATATGTGTTGGGAGCTCTGGTGGCTTAGTGGAAAAGAGTTGCACTGCCAACCCAAAGGCACACGGTTCAAATCCACCAGCTATTCCACAAAAAAAAAGATGAGCAGTCTCCTCCCATGTGATTTACGGCCTCTGAAAACCTGCTGGAGGGTCAGCTATGAGCTAGTTCTGTCTTGAGGGTACCTAATGGCTTATGTGTGTACAGAGATGCACACAGATATTTCTACATCATCACATTAACTCTAGACCAGCTCTGGGAGGCAGTCATCACCTTATTCATGTTACAGATGGGGAAGCTGAGACCAGATGAGGCTCTCACCCCACGCTCTGCTCCCTTACCCCTGCTGAAGCCCCGGAAAAAGCCCAGCACCTCTTGTTTTGAAGAGACTATATGCTTAGCTGCGCAGAGGTAAAAACGTTGCTGAAAAGAGGAAATGTGTGAAAACCTTGGCCAAGGGCCCCTTAGGCTGTGAATTATTTTCAGTATAAAAAGCCAGAACGGTGTTTAAGGTCGGAACTACGCCCTAGGAGGCAGCAGCTGTGGGCGGAACAGCCCAGAACGAGAGAGACCAGCCACCTGGGGCCCAGAAGCCCCAGGCAGGTTCTGAGGAAGGAAAGAAGGGAGGAACTGGCTGTTTTGGTGTTTCTGGCAGCCACTGTGCTGGGCACCCAGTAGGCCTCATCCCACTCAGTCAGGACTGTGGTGGCGTTCTCTGTGCTGGACCTTCCTGGAATCGCCTCCATGTGCCTGCTGAACCCTGTCTCCTGTGCTCCACACAGCCCACCCAACTCCAGGCCCTGGGGCCTTCTTGCTGTTTCCAACCCTCACCGGGCATAATCCTGCCCCAGGACCTTTGCACAGGCTCGGCCTTTGCCACAACAGTCATCCACACGCCCACAAGCACACTTCATTTGGCTCTTGATATAAATGGAATCTTCTGCATGAGGCCTGTTCTGACCTCATGTTTGAAAATGCATTCATCCCTCCTTAGGGCCAGATTTTTCTCTCTGTTACTTCCTCCTTCTCTGACACACTAGCTAATCTACCCATTTCTTTGATTTGTCACTACCATTGGGATACCAGCTGTCTGAGGGTGGGGTTTGTGTTGGTTCTGCTCACAGCTGTCTCCCCTGGGCTTACCACCTAACACTAAACAATAATACAAACTCAAACTCATTGCCGTTGAGTTGCAGCTCCCTCCAGCGGGTTTCCAAGGCTGTGAATTGCACAAGAACAGACTGCTCATCTTTCTCCCTCGGAGCCACTGAAGGGTTTGAATCACCAGAGAAGCGGGGTCATTAGTTTGGCAGTACAACTCTCAGCACCACCTAACGTTGTTATGATGTGCCACTGAGTTGTCCGTGACTCTCAGCGACCCTATGACCAAGAGCTCTGAACCCTGCCCTATCCTGAGCCAACCTCACTGTCTCTGATACACTTACACCTGCTACCCAAGTTACTGTGACAATCCATTTCATCAAGGGTCCTCTTCCCCTGCTCTGTCCCTCCACTCTTCCAAGCGTGATGTCCTTATCTAAGGACTGGTCCCTCCTGGCCCACAGTATGTGACATAGAGTTTCAAAATCCTTGCTTCGAAGGAGCAACTTGGCTTCACCCTCTCCAGGACAGATAGACCTGTTTGTTCTCTTGGCAGCCCATGTTATGTTCAAGACTCTTCTTCAGCACCACAATTCAAAGGCATCAATTCTTTTTCTGTTATCCTTAGTCACTGTCCAGTCACTCTCTGATGCATAGCAGTAATTTCAAAGACCATGGCCTGGACCAGGCACACCTTAGTCTCCATACTGATGTTGTTATTTTTTAGCACTCTGGAGAGATCCCTGACAGCAGACTTCCCAATGCAGCTCGTTTTGTTTTATTTCCTGACTGATGGTGCCAAGACCCTCCCAACAACCAAAGGAGCCCTGGTGACACCGTGTGCTAAGCATTAAGCCGCTAACTGAAAGTTTAGTGGTTTGGATCCACCAGCCACTTCGCAGGAGAAAGATGTGACGATTGGTTTCTGTAAAGACTTAGCCTTGGAAACCCCAAGGGGCAGTTCTACTCTGTTCTGATGGGTCCCTGTGGTTCTGAAAAGACGAGACAAAGAGTAGGTGTGGATTTTAGCACTGCTGGCTTAATACCTAGCGTGTTGCAAAATCCAAAAACCCTCAGCACACTGCTGCCAAGTTGGAACCAACTCAAAGCTGACCCACCAGAGAGAGGGTTTTCAGAGGAGGAGATCACCCATCCTTCTCGTGAGGGGTCGGTCACTGGGGGATTCAAACCACCTGCCTTTGGGTTGATGACGCAACCCCTAACCCACTTGACCATCAGAGCTCCTCACAGCACGTTGTGCTGTTAACCAAAGGGTGGGTGGTTTGAATCTACCAGCAGTGACATGGAGAAAAAGAAGTGATTTCCTCCCATGAAGATTTGCAGCCTTAGAAACCTGATGAGTTGCTACGGGTTCAAACCTACTCAGTGGCCCTGCATGTGTTTTTGTTCTTTAACCTTATGAGTTTGGGCTCAATATCCAAGCAAGAAAGCTGAGACTCAGAGATGAAGCAATCACTGGGTCCACAACAGCTAGGATTTAAATCCAACTCCCGGCTCCATCCCCCTGGGCCATCCCCAAACCTCTGTCTCTCTGATATCTGTGGTTTTGGGGACTGAGAACCTTCCACAATGACTCTCAATGACCATGTGCCTACTTTCAATTTTCATCAAGTATGTTTATGAAAACAAATGACAAAATAACTACCATTAGAAAAGAGCTTCCATTACTATTATTATTATTATTTTGGTTATTCCTTTGAAAGCTGGTGAGAACATTGATTTGATCCAATTTCTGTGACCTTTTGTGGTTAAATAGCCTCTCCAGGCCTTAGTTTATTTCTCTGGAATAAGAGGATAAAATAGAGTGAAAGGGGCCCTGAATTCCGAAAGTCATCACGAGGATTTAATGAGGAGACCTGATGGTACAATGAGGGAGCGCTCAGCTGTTAACTGAAAGATGGGTGGTTCAAATCCCACCAGTGTCCAGGAGAGAGGCCTGGTTCTGCGTCAGTAGAGCTCACAGCCTCAGGAAACTGTCCAGGCAGTTCTGCTCCGTCACTTGGGGCCATTTGGAGTCAGACTGGACCGCACAGCACTTAACAACAACCCCTCCCAGGGAAGGGGCCAGCTCTTGTTATTAAAGGCAAATACATGGCTACTCTCTGTCCAGGACCAGTGTGGGTCCTCAGGCAGGCATTTGGGGACCGTCTCACCAGTAGGGTGATTACATGTGTTGGCAGGTGTGGGCACCGGGCCCCCTCTCAGAGATGAACACCTCAGCTAAACACCCAGCTGGTCACTCAGGGAGGACTTTTGGAAATGTGTCCATAATAGAAGGGACAGGGGTGTCACCTGGCAGAGGGACAGGGGTTGGGGGCTGAGGAGACATGGAAGGGGAAGGTACCTTAGCCCAGGGCTGGCGTCTGTGTCCTGGTTTCCAGGGGTGACTTGGGGAGCTGTGACTGTTCTGGAGTCTCATGCCTGCTCTTTGCCTCCTAGGCTGGGCCCCGTCTCTGGTCCCCAGGCGTTCCCCAAACTGGTGACAATCCTCACAGCCTTTTCCTCCCTCCAGCATCTGGAGTGAGTATAAACTTGGGCCTGCCCTCTCCCTGACTTTTGACACCCAGCCCGGCCCCCACAGCCGCAGCGGGGAGAAGCCCTTCTCTGTCCCTTTCCTGTACAGCTTTCCCAGTGTGGCTCCAGTCATCCAGGGCTCCCCAACAGGGAAGGGACAGCAGCTGGGAATCCCCGTGGTAAACAAGCTGAATCTCTGCCCTCTGTGGCCTCCTTAGCTGCTCCCGGGCCTTTTAAGAAGGTGGGGTGGAGGAGCATGGTTCCCCTGACAGGTGAGGACACTGGGGTTCCACAGGTTCCCTCCTGGGTCACCCTTGTTCTCATGGCCAGGGACGGCAGTGGCCCAGCCCCAAGGAGTCCTGCTCACATCGGATTCATGGTCCTTAGCATCACGGGGCTCCTAAAACCAGTCAAACCCACCACCAGTCCCCAGCTCTCTGACAGGTGCCCTGAAGCCTCTTGGCAGTGTGGCAAGGACAAGGGGTCTGGTGTCAGGACAGGAGGGGAGAAGCTGGTGGTCTCCTGGACACCGGCTGATGGTCCCCATCTGATTCCACCTGCAGCCTGGACTCGCTGAGTGAGAACAAGATCGGGGACAGAGGAGTCGCCCAGCTCTCGGCCATATTCCCTCAGCTGAAGGCTCTGGAGACGCTCAAGTGAGTCCCCTGGGCCTGCCCTTCGCCTCCTCTGATCTTTAAGTCCAGCTGACCTTTTTATCCTTTTATTTACTTGTTTATTAAGTCATTTATCCACTCAGTCAATCTTCTGAACTCGTTTATGTATTCTTATCCATTCCCTCCGTCACTCATTTAATCACTTTGTTTATTCATGCATCCAACCACTTCATTTAGTTAATGATACAGTGCGGGTGAAACCAGGCTGCTCCTTGGAGGCAAAGATTTTGAAGTTCCATCTCATATACTGTGGGCACATGGCCGGAGGGACCAGTCCTTGGAGAAGGACATCATGCTTGGAAGGGTGGAGGGACAGCACAGGAGAGGAAGACCCAGATGAAGTGGATTGACACTGTAACTGGGCTCGTGGGGGTAGGTGTGTTGGAGACAGTGAGATTGGCTCAGGGTAGAGCAGAGTTCAGAGCTATGGTGCATAGGGTCACTATGAGTCACGGGCGACTCGATGGCACATAACAATAACAGTGACAATGACTTGAATCCAGTCATCTGTGCATTTAATCAACAAATACTCCCTCAACACCTGCGATGTACAGGTGCCCACTGAAGCCCAGGATACTCAGCTTTAAACAAAGCAAATCCCCTAACTTCAGTGATCTTAAATCTTAGGAGAACTGGTAAACATGCTAACAAATGAATGGATCCATAATAATGAGGCATAAAACATAATAAAGGGAAACCATGTTTAGCGACAGAAATTACATGTGGTGATAAAAGAAGAGAGGCAGACTGGGTGGAGTAGTACATCACCTTGCCCAGGCAGCACATTTGAATTGCCCAGAGGGTCCTGAGCTTTGGAGGCTGGAAATGAATGAGAGTAAAGGAGGCTCTGCTGGGTATTTTCTTGAACTGAGAAAATTCTCCCATTCATTGCCATTGAGTTGGAACCAACTCAGAGTTGACCCTTATTTGAGTAGCCCCTCTTTTCCCCAAGGGGCTGCTGGTGGATTTGAACCACCAGAGGGGCCCTGCCTTTGGCTTAGCAGTACAGCTGCCTGTAGACTGTGCCACCAGAGCTTGCTGCTGCACCTCAAGGGTCTCGTTAAAATCCGACCACGCTTCCCTTCATATTCCTGAGCGAAGTTCCGTGATTGAAGAACAGTGTCATGTCTCCAGTATTTTATACGGTTCCACGTATCACTGAAACAAACTCGCTTCCCTCCTCCCACCTTCTCCTCCCTCCATCCTTCCCTCCCTTTCTCCCCCTCCCTTTCCTTCTGCCCCAGGACTGGACAACATTCCATTCTGTTACAGATATAAGGTTAAACAGCCCTGGTGGTACAGCAGTTAAGCACTTGGCTGCTAACTGAAAGACTGGTAGTTCGAGCTCCCCTGTGGTTCCATGGGCCGAAGAACTGGTGGGGTCTGTGCCTGTAAAGATCTAGCCTAGAAACCCCTCTGGGACTGCACTACTGTGTGACATGGGGATGCTGAGTCAGAACGGACTCGCTGGCGCCTAACCCCACCATACCCCTAACCCCACCATACACAGGTGGTTATGAGCCTGGGCTTACTTAGGCATCTAACAACAATAACAACAAAGTATTTCTTGAGCACCTGCTGTGCACCTGGCACTGCTCTAGGCATAGGGATACAGAAGCAGGCAAAACAGACATGATGCTCTTGCCTGGTGGAGTCTACCGCCTAGCAGGGGAGAAACCATCTAAAAATGCCAGGAACATGTATTTAATGACAGCACAAAAAGTGGTCCCAAAGGAAAAGAGGTGTGCCATGGCATCATAAAACAGGTGTCTCCGCACCCTCCTCCGATGCCCCAGCCCCTCCAGAGTCAGTCCACAGCCCCATCCTTATTGTATTACCCACAGTGTTCATAGAGGGCAGCTGTGCTGTCTGTGATATGATGGGCCACCTTGTGTGGAAGCCAGAGCTCCCGGCTCTGCCTGCAGCAGGCGTCACCCCAGCCCAGGGAGGATGGATGGCAGAGGGAGAGAGGATCCAGGTTTGGTCCTGATCCCTTGTCCACTATGTTGCTACAGCCTGTCCCAGAACAACATCACCGATATGGGGGCCTGCACGCTCGCCGAAGCCCTGCCTGCACTGGCTGCCTCCCTCCTCAGACTGAGGTGAGTAGGCCCCGGTTAGTAGAGGGACGAGGTGCTGCACTTTCAACTGGAGGTGCTGGATTGGCCACTGGAACCACGGCATCAGTCCACTCCACAGGGGGCCCCAGCTACCTCTAACCCACTGTGGACGCCTTGGCCTGAACAAGAGAGCTGGCATGACCCCAAGGAAAGAGCTCTGAGGAACCCTGGGCAAATAGCCTCCTCTTTTTACCTTTTCGTCTCTGGAAAATGAGAAGCATCCCAGGATCTTCCTCAGAGTTAAATCAAGGCACCGTGTCCAGCTCTTGGCCTTCAAAACAAAACACTCGCTGCCATTAAATCAGCTCCTACTCGTAGCGATCCTCCATCAAGTTTCCAAGTCTAAGTCTAAATGGGAGGAAACTACTTACCTTTCTCCATGGAGCCGCTTAACACAATTCAACTCATCGCCATCGAGTCGGAACCAACCCGGAGCTGAACCTTCAGCAGGTTTTCAGAGGCTGCTAATTCCAAGGGAGGGAATTGCCTATCTCTTCCCCAAGGAGCAGCTGGTGGATTCAAAACCCATGCCTTTGGGTTGGCAGCGCAGCTCCTTACTCACCAGGCCACCAGAGCCACCTATAGAGCCACTAATGCACAAGTAATTATCAATCCTTCTCCCCCACGGGAGAGTGGGAACAAGCTTTTTGTGGAGTCCACAGGCAGCTTCTGAAAAGCTGAAAAATCACTCACACGGGAGTCTGTCCCTACACTGCCATCTTCTGGTAGGTCCCGGAGTAGCACCGCTTGCTTTGGAATATTTCCTTTAAAAAAAAATTCAGTGTAGATTTTACAAGTCATATTGGGGTTTTAATACAGTTTTGTTGTTGTAGTTGTGTACCATCGAGTTGGAATCTACCCATAGCTGACCCTCCAGTGGGTTTTCACAGGCAGTTAATCGCATGGGAGGAGATTGTCCATCCTACTGCAGAGCAGCTGGTAGATTCGAACTGCATGTCTTCAGGACTGCAGCACAACTTCTTGTAGATCCCCTTTAATATAATAACTTATATTTATTTTATTTTATTACATCAGCTGCAGTTGATTAATGTAACTAATGGGAATGCCTAACCAAACCCTTACTGTGTATTCTGGGGCCAGTGAGAGGTTAAGCTTGGACCACAGCGCAAGTTCAAATTAGCATCACCTCTATTCCTGCCCTTCGAAGCCGGGGAACTGCCTTTCTGCTTCTCCCAGCTCTCACTGCCTGCAGAGGTAGCCAAAAATCAGCTGGTTCTCCAGGGAGAAAGCATTGAGACCATCTAGTTATTGATTCCTCTGTTTACTTAGCCTTCCAGCCAGGCCATTATGTACAACTGAACAAGCTGTGTTCTGTGCAGCTCATAAACCATGAGCTTGGCGTCCTGAGACCTGTCCGTGAGCATCTGACACTTAACACTTAACCACACTCTCAAGCCCATACTAAAAACTAGAACTACGATGATGAGCAAGATAGACATAAGCAAGTAAACTTAGTATAAATAGATTATAAAATAATGACTAATTCTGGGAAGGAAACCAAAGAGCGTCCCAAAGAATCAAACCAACCAAATCCAATTCACTGCCATCACGTCAGTGCTGACTCATAATGACCCTCCATTGGGTGTCTGAGGCTATAAATCTTGACAGAAAAAAGCTGCCCATCTGGTGGATTTGAACTTCCATCCTTTCCATTCACAATCTAACATGGTACTTTCTATGCCACCAGGGGTTCTTGAAAAATACAGTAGGGAGGAGCAAATCCAGCAGGAAGGCTCTGAGGAGGTGATAATTCTTGAAATCCAGAAAATGTAGAGGAACTGACTGGAGAGCTCTATGGGAAATGCATTTGAGGGAGAGGGAACCGCAGGTGCAAAGACCCTGAGGTGGGAAAGAGTTTGAGTCTTTGAGGGCTAGAAGGGCTGGGATGTGGTGAATGAGGGCCAGAGAGGGGAGATGGAGTAGGAGAAGCCGGTTTGTAGGTCAAGGAAGGGCCTTGCTGGTCAGGGAAGGCATTTGGGGTGTGTTTGTTATTTTTTAAGAAAGCATGTATGAAAAAGCAGAGAGGGTGATTTGAACCTAAGAAAACATTTTATGGACTCTTAAGAAGCTATAATCCCTCATAAGACACTTTAATGTTGCCATCAGGAGGACAATTAGTTGCTAATTAAACTGTGACTCTCCACTGATTATAAGACACAGCCGGATCTCACTGACATCAGTGAAACATGTGATGATTACTGATTGTCCTGGGATGTAGGCAGGGCCTCCAGGTTCTAGGACTCACTCCCAGGAAGAGAGGACAGAGCCCTCGGCCAGCTCCTGCTCTGGCTGAGTCTGGATCTAGGTAGCTGCAGTGTAGACCTGCTGCTTTTTACACGCAGCCCAGGCATGCCCTGCAGCCCTGAGGCGGAGTCACAACAAAGTCAGGCACTGAGATGAGAGATGAGAGTGGTGGCAGGCCGTGCCCCCGCCTGTTGACAGGTCCTAAGCATTCAGCCAGGTGGGTACTGACGACACTCTGGTGCTATTTCTGTCACTGCTAATGATGATCTGAATATGTATTCTAGAAACACAAGGTGGCCAGCAGTCTGGGTTCTTCCCTCCCTACTTCAAAGGCTGGCCTTGTCTTTTTAGGGCCAGTGTCTCCAAATGCCTGTGGTCATCATGCCAGCGCCAGCATTAGCTCCTTTCCTCCACCCAGACAATGACTCCATTGTGGTCCGCAGCTGTTAAGTGAATTGTGATTCATAGAGACCCCATGTGATAGAACAGAGAAGCCCCCCAGGGTTCCCTCTCCTTGGGGTCTCAGCAGTTAAGCACATAGCTGTTACGATCAGTGGCTTGAAGCCACCAGGAGCTCCTTGGGAAAAATGTGGCTGGTGCTTCTGTGAGGGTTACAGACCTGGATACCCTAAGGGACAGTGCTCCTCTGTCCTGTAGGGGTCCCTCTATGAGCAGGCATTGACTTAGCAGCAGTGGGGAGTCTTTACAGAAGGTCATCAGGTCTTTCCCCCCAAGAAGCTGGGGGGCGAGTTCTAACTGCTAACTCCTGGCAAGAAGCTGCACTGCAATCCTGAAGGCACACGGTTCAAGGCAGCTGCTCTGTGGGAGGATAGACACTCTCCTCCCGACTGCCTCTGAAAACCCGCCAGAGGGTCAGTTATGGGTCGGTTCCAACTCGATGGCACACAACAAGAAACAATTATTTTGTTGGCAATAAGCACACAGCCATTACAACATCAGGCCTCCTTCCCATAATTGTAGCTGGTCCTTTGTATAAGCAGGTTTTGTTTGCATTATCAAATTCAGCCAACAACAGATTAAAAATATTAACACAACAACCACAGCAGTGAAGTAGCCAAAGCCATTCCTCAAAGACTAAGAGGCAGTTTGAGATGCTGTTTACAGAGGCAGGAAGTGGTAGCACAAGGTTTTGAACCTGGGAAGTTGTCTTCTGAGAGTTTCCCCACTCTCAGTTGTTCCTGAGGGATCTCTGGTGGCCTACTGGTAAGAATCTACACTGCAGTGCCGAAGGCATGTGGTTCAAATCCACCAGCTGCTCCCCCGGAAAAGGATGGACAGTTGCCTCCTGTGTCTCTGAAAACCTGCTAGAGGGTCAGCTCCGACTCGACACATAGTTGTTTCTGAACTCACTGCGTGCCCACAAGGAAGCCTTAGTTGTCTTTTCTATTAAATGCAAGCTGTGGTCTGGTTGGATATGGACCCTCAGCCTGTCCATTGACCCCGTTTTCCCACAGCCTGTACAATAACTCCATCTGCGACACGGGAGCCAAGAGCCTGGCCCACGTGCTTCCCGACCTGGAGTCCCTCCGGGTGCTCGAGTGAGTAGGGCAGTCTGGGCAGTGGGCCACAGGGATCCAGGATCTGGGGAAGCCCCTGGGCTGAGGGCTGGTCGGTCTGGACGGTCTTCAGGGTGAGTCCAGGCCCAGGCCCAGAATGGCTCACTCTCTCCCCCTAGTGTCCAGTACAACAAGTTCACCGCAGCCGGGGCCCAGCAGCTCGCTGCCAGCCTGAAGAAGTGCCCTCAGGTGGAGACACTGGCGTAAGTCTCACCCCGTGGACAATCACCCTCTCTTCAGGTGTGCTGGTCCTGGGTTCCAATCCTACTTCATCCCTCACCAACATGGGACCCCTCACAAGCATCCCTTAACCTCTCCATCTGTAAAATGGGGGCAGTTATAGCATCTACCCCCCAGATGGTTCTGTGAGGTTTAGATTAGATGAAATACAGTGCCTGGCACATGAAAATAAATGCTATGTTAGGTTGACCTATATGAAACTGCCTATATCCACTCAATCTCACCGACAAAACTAGCAATTTTGTATAGGTCTAACTCACTTCTTATTATTGTATCTTTACTATTGTTAAGGAGGTCTGGTAGTGTAGAGTGTAACATATCAGGTTGCTAACTGAATGGCCAACAGTTCAAATCCACCAGCTGCTGCATGGGAGAAGGATGAGCAGTCTCCTCCATAAAGACTTACAGCCTCAGGAACTCAGATGGTCTCTGAGCTGTGGAATCATCTCAACGACAGTCAGTCTTTTGAGTTAAGCACTGAGCTGCTCATTGAAAAGTTGGTGGCTTGGACTCTCAGCAGAAAGATGGGTCGGTCTGCTCCTGTTAAGATTTGCAGCCTTGGAATCCCTGCGGGGCTGTTCTCTGTCCTACAGAGTCACCAGCAATCAGGACTGCCTCGAGGGCAGTGGTTTTGGTGACCAGTATTAACATGTCCCAGTGATGATATGTTCACCCTTGTCTCCTCACGTACACACGCGCCTACTCTTTGGAAGCGCTTCCCTCTGCATAAGCCTTTGCACCTTCTAAGATGAAGTCATTGCTGTGAAGTTGGTTCCAGTGCATAGCTGACCCTCCTAGGGGTTTCTGAGGATGTAAATTTTGGCAGGAGGAGACTGCCCATCTTTCTGCCATGGAGCTACTGGTGGGTTCAAACTGTCAGAGAAGTGTTAGCAGCATAACCAGAGCCCCCTTCTCAGATGATGTTGTTGTTGTGTGCCATCAAGTCAGAACCAACACATAGCCGACCCCCAGCGGGTGTTCAGAGGCAGGAAGAGATTGTCTATCCTGCAGAACAACTGATGGATTTGAACGACATGCCTTCAGGATTGCAGCGCAGCATCGTACCACTAGGCCACCAAAGCTCCCTTGTAAGATGATAGGGAATCACATACCATCTATTTTACAGATAGATGAAAAAGGTACAGAGAGGTTAACTAGCTCTGTGGAGGCCACACAGCCAATTAGCAGTGGACGCAGATATAAAGAAAAGGGTCTCCAGGCCCAGGCTTCTGCCTTTCTTACAACCCACACTGATCTGTTTCCTGTTAGGTGGATGGGTCTGAGGGTCCTTGGCCGAGTGGGAGGAAGGACACGGGCTCCAGGCCACCACTGCCACCTCCAGCCTGGCCTCTCCTCATTCTCCCCCTTGTCCTCGCAGGATGTGGACACCCACCATCCCATTCAGTGTCCAGGAGCATCTGCAGCAGCTGGACTCACGAATCAGCCTACGGTGACCTGAGCCGAGCCTGGGCGAGGTAACAGGTGAGCTCAGCAGGTGAGGGCATCAGATAGGAGCCAGGTGACTCGGTCAGGGGCCGCTCTGTCTCTGCCCCAGGCTTGGAGGAGTGGCTGCAGTGACTGAGGACTTGGGCCCTGGGGAGCCTCCCTGCGCTTGGTTGTGGAGAGAAGCAGGCGAAGGTGGAATGGGCCAGGCCAGCCATGTCCACAGCTCCTTGCATGGGGCAGCTCATCCTTCAGGGGTGTCAAAGCCACTCCTGCTGTGGCCCTGATGTCCTCAGATCTGTCCTCACAGGAATTTGCTCTCGCAGTTTCCTGCCCCTACCTGCCCCATGACTGCCCACATTCACCCTGCCCCCCACAGCCTCTCCTCACCTTGCATGCCTTTTGCCCCTCCACTCCACTCTAACCTTGACCAGAAGCCTCTCTGCTTCCTGGCTGACCCCCTCTTCTGACCTCCCACAGCACATTCCGGACACTGGCTTCCCTGGACCTTGGACTTGCTGGCTGTGGATGCAGCTCTCTGGCGTCTCTACGCCACTCACTGGCCTGGCACCCAGCCCCGCGGCTGAGTGGGCTGTGCTGACAGGCCCCAGGTGGCTCCAGATGGATGCCAGGCCCACTGCCTGTTCATCAGTGTGTGCTTGGCAAGTGGTGGGTGCCAAGTGGTGGCTGCAGTCCATCTGGGTGCCCTGAAGGCCACCCAGTCACCTGTGGGCAGCTCAGGGTAAGGACCCAAGGTGCCACATCTCTGCCTCTCAGGCCAGCACCTGGCAGGGAGAAAGGGGCTCTTTCCAGGCCCAGCCGACAGCATGCACCTGGAGCTCTGGAGGTAGCGGCCGACTGCCCTGTCCTGCCCACTCCCTGAGTCCCGACAGCTGGGGCTCTTGGCAGCTGCTTTCTGTCCATGGGATTCAAGTTTGCACTAACTTTGTTTTCCAGAGTCCAAAGCCAAGGGCAGTCACGCTTAGCCTTGGCAGGAAACCGCTAATATACACTAATGGGGGTTGGGGAACCAGTATCACGTCTGTCTTTTTTCCTTTCTTTTTTCACTACATTATAAAGATCTCATTTAATGTTACACGCAGGTCCGTGGTTGACTTCACACCATGATCACCATTTGAGGGCCTGCTGATTGGGTTGTCTAATGTGTTAAAAAAAGCACCCCAGAGCACAGTGGCTTAAAACCAGTGCTCACATATCTGAAATCTGGGCAGGGCTCCAAGGGGAGAGCTGGGCTGTGCTCCTCAGGTGCATCGGGCAGCTGGAGGGCTGGGAATGGCCTACCCTGAAAGATCAGTCCCTGGCATCATCGGCACTTAGTGCTGCTGTGGGCTGAAGACTTCAGCCCCTCTAAGGAGCTGCCAGCTGGGGGCTTCTCCAAGTGGTCTATCCTGGGCTTTCTCATATCATGGTGGTTGGGTTGCAGGTCAGAGAAGGGACAGGAGAAGGGAGGGAGAGAACATGAGAGAGAAGGGAGTGGAAGAGAAGGACGGAGAAATAAATAACCTTTGTATATACCTGAGTCCCCAAAGTCACCCAGCATCATTTCTGCCATTCTCTTTGCTGAGGGTCAAATCCCCTCCCAACACACCCACACCCACCCCACCACACACCCTTGTACTTGCTGTTAGATGCTGTCGAGTATGTCTCACAGTGACCTTTACAGCCAGACCCTCTTTTCAGTGCATTCACAAGAATTGTAATTTAACTCTGACTGACTTAATAGTTTTTAATATATTATGTAGTTTAATTAAACTACCATAAAAAAGAAAGCAACTTAGAATCTTGTTGAGTATATCTCGCAGCAACCCTTGTAGAGCTGACTAATAATGTGCCTGACTCCGCACCTCCCTCACAATCTGCTGTATTTAAGTCCAGTGTCAAGGTCACTGCCTCTCCCCTGATCCCCCATGGCTTAAACCAAGAAATAACCAAAGACACTGTCATCGGGTCAGTTCCTGCCCTAGGGGACCCTCCACCAGATTTCTGGGACTCTGAATCTTTATGGGAGGAGGGGGCACTGATCTTCCTGAAGACACCCACCTTCTCTTCCATCACCTTGGCCTTTATCTCCTTGCCATCCAGTGGATTCGACAGTGACCCTCCCAAGGCTGTAAATCTTTACAGGAAAAGACTGCCCATCTTTCTCCTGAGGGGAAACTGGTGGATTCAAACCATGGACTGACCTTTCAGCTAGCCACACAGTGCAGTGCGCAACCCTCTGCGCCACCAAGGTTCCTTGGCCTAAGTCCTGTTTTCTGAAAGTGTTTTCCTTGGGACTTCCTCTCCAAGATTCAGTGGAACATTCATTACTTGGGGATCCAAGAAGTGGAAGGGCGGCTTGTCGTGCACAAGGGGAATGTTTACCTCTGCCTTTGACACCCCACTCTATCCTGGGAGCTGATTCCCGGCCAGACTGGAATGCTGCCCAGGCTGCCAGTTGGGCTGGGGCTGTTTTTCACTCAGGCGCAGCCTGCTGTCAGGAGCCCGCTCAGCACAGCGAGGCTCTCGGGACGGGAGCTGTATGTTCTGTCTCAATCGGCATGGTTCCCAGATTCCCACCTCTTCCCAGCAATAGCATTTAGGGTCTGGAGGGTCAGAAGGGTTTGGACCAGTTTGTCCATGGGGCATTCTTGGCACAGACAAGCGCCTCCTCCTTGGTGTGGCTGTGAAGTGCACTGAGTTCCAGCCTAAGTTAACAGCCCGAGTGTCCCTCCTCAGTGTGTCCCTGTCCTCATGGGCTCTGCATGGCCATGACTGTGGGTAGCCACTTTCTGAGACCACGTCTGTATGACTCAGGCATCTCCAGCACCCAGTAGCCAAGAGGGCAGAGATTTCTTTATCTGCTGCTTCTGATCTATTCAGAGATGCCAAAACCAAGGCCAGAGGCTGTAATTATTCCCAGGAGTACTTGTAAATGATGTTGATTATTAGTTGCTTTATTCAACTCTGATAGGTGATGATCCCTTACACAAGAGAATAAAACAATCTGGTCCTGTCTCATCTCCCTGATGGCTGCGACACTCAGGCCCATTGTTTCCTTTGCTAGGTATTTTGAGAAAAGAACTCTGGTAGCCTAGTAGTAGGGAACTGTGCTCCCAACCCAAAGGCTTGGTGTTCAAATCCACCAGCTGTTTTGTGGGAGAAAGATGAGTAGTCTCCTCTCATGTGGTTTACCACCTTGGGAAACCCAGTGGAGGATGGGCTATGTGTTAGTTCCAACTTGACAGCAATGAGTAGTTTCTAGTCTGGGGCACTTATCTGCCAGCTGTGTGTCAGACAACATTCTGTGATCCACAGGGTGTTCACTGGCGAATTCTGGAAAACGTATTAGCAGGCCTTCCTCCCTTGTCTTCCTGTCTTACCTAGAAGTTCTGCTGAAACTTGTCCACCATGGGTAACAAGCCATCATTTATTAAATGATTGATATATGTAAAGTGTGCGGCAGTGTAAGCCGCTCAATAAAAATGAATGATGATTATTATTTTGTGCCAGGCACTGGGCTAAACACCTCACACTGGAGAAACACCAGTCTAGAAGCCAGCTGCCCAGACCCTACAATCAAATGGCTCAGTGTCAAGCTCCACCACTGGGTGCAAGTTACTTCTCTGTGCCTCAGTCTCCACATACGTAAAATGGGCAGGTCACAGTTCCTTCTTTACAGAGAGAAGATTCAGAGCTTACACACTGACCACAGAGCTTGGGACACAGTCACAGACACTTGTGTTGCACTCTTCTGTCTAGAATGTTCCTCCCAGCTGTTCAGGGACAGATCCTCAAGGAGGTCTGCTCTACGCAGCTCAGGTTGCCGCCTTCTCATTCACTGATCAGCCCTGACTATTTGTTTTCTTATACTTATTTGTGTATTGTCAGAAAACTGGAGAGAATGAGTGTTTTCATGAAACTGCAAGATGACCCAGTTCTGCTTGCTCCCTTGCTTACGCGTGCCTCCCTATTTAGTGGGGGTCTCACACTGCAATCTTCTCAGAGATTAGGCTTCCAGCCAGACCACCAGGCCTTTTTCACCTCACCTTAACCCTACCCTGGTGGCCAGCTCGCAGAGGTCAGGAGGGGCCTTCTGGTCAGGAATGCTCACATGGTCAGTTCTCCAACTCTGCTGGATCTCCATACTGAGAAGCCCTGATTCTCCTACCCTTTATCAACCCCAAGGTTCTCCTTAAGGACCTCTTTCCTGAGCTTCGAAGAAACAGGCAGGAACCCATGGAGTCGGAGTTGCATATGATTTTAATTGAAAGAAATCAGCCTCCTAAATATTGCTTTTACAGGTTTTTTGAGGTCAGATATTCACACCACTCACACTTTGCAAAGTAGATCTCTGGCCAGAGGTGTGCCCTGACACGCCCCCAGCATGATGTGTCCTTTCTGTTCCAAGTTTGACCAAAGACCTCTGCTAGAGTGATGGAGAAGAAGCAACTTGAAATGAGTAAGTCCAAACCTACCCTCAGCTGCTGGCATGTTCCATTTCCTCTAGAGTCACTTCCTGGAACAGCCGCCACATCGAAGACCAGCCTTGGTCCAAACCCAGCCAGGCTTAAGGCTCAACAGGCATCAAGTGGAGCTGTGTGTCACTCTGTGTGTTTGCAATCCGCAGTGTCCTCTGAAGGTGAAGTGGGGGAAGCGGGTGCAGCCAGGGGTGGAGAGCAAGGAGGTCGACTCTGAATGGGCTCCTGTCACCTCCATTGTAGCAGTGACAGGTCAGACACCAAGGCCTGGCCATGAGGGTGATGCTGTGGGCAGGTGAGGTCTCTGGATGGCCCTGCCCACCCTGTCGGGGCCTCTGCCTTCAGTCCCAAGGCTGTTTTCCGATTCTCCTCATCTGGACAGGAACCCTTCTGTTGGCACAAAGCTTTCCAGGGGAGGAGGTCTGCAGGGAGAGATGGAGGGGAGTTAGTGACTTGGAAGTTCCACCTGCCTCAGGTTGAAGGAAACCTGGTCAAGATAGAAGTCTCAGGAAGGGGTGCAGTAGGACATT